GGACTTAGGGATCATAGGGCCCTCGGAACTTGATCTTACTCCCGTCAGTGGATGCATCACGCAATGCCCGCAGCTCTGCGTCTTTTGCCCCCAACGAGAACAGCAAAGAAGAGAAACACTGCGGTGAGACCTAGCAGGGATCGAAGTTTCCTCACACCATGGGGCGTTGTGAATCCATAAAAATGGACGTGCTGAGGGCCCAGGAAGCTGATGATGTGTGATGTGAGCCCTCAGTCCCTCATATGCTATGCAGGGATTTGTTCGCGGTAATTAGGAATATTACCATTTAGTATAGTGTTTGCAATGAGCATGAGATATCAGTAGGCTGCTCCTCTGAATGACTACTGTGAGCCGCATCCTTATAACCCCACAGCTGAGTATAATGAGTCGGCAAGCATAAGTTAACTGACACCCTCAAATAAACTGCTACAGACTCTCAAGCGTTTCATCTGATTCAGCAAAATAACAGAGTTAACAAAGCTTAAAGGATGTTCCTTTCTTGTTCTTTCTCAAAATTGTTCTGTTCTGCAACCGCACTAGACCGGGCACTGCGGCCTTTTGGACTGGGAGAGGAGACAGCCTGGCATGTTCCAACACCTTTTGAACCTGGTCTCATGCGAGCCTCTCCTACAGTCATATCAATGCATCTCCTCGTAAACAATATTTAATGCACGAGTCAACTATTTTCTCAATAAACATCAACAAGCACGCACACACACTTCCGCTGCTTAGCCAACCCCCAATCTTACTCAACGAGCACGGGAATGTTGCCGTGTTCGTAGTGCGTATTCAGTACACTAGGTCTTCATCTGTATTCCTTCGCGCTGACAGTTCGTTGGGAGGCACGAGTTGCCGTGTTTCATTGAGTCACAGATATTCAAACATCCCATTTATTTTTCCCAACAAAGGAAGTCCAGCAAATCGAAAGGAAAGTTTCTTGTTCTCTGCTCCAAATTGTTCTCACCCCGTTCCCACTTGCCCCGGTACAGTCCCCATTCCCACTTGCCCCGGTACAGTGCAGCAAAAGGGTGTGAGAGGAGACGGCCGAGCATGTGTCGCAACATCTTGTTGCACTAAGTCTCGTGGCCCCCTTTCATGTAGTCAAAAACAATACACCACCTTTTAGTAAGCAGGAACTAAAACAATTATTAAGCACTTAATAAATAGCAACCTGCATTACATCCCTCTCCATACTTAAACAACCTTCACTCCAGTGCAATGAGCATGGCGAACTGCCAGTTGGCAGTGATACCGTGATTGTAGTGAATATTCATTACACAACGCATATTCGAATTTGACCCCTTACAACCTTATAACCCTATGGAGTTGCTCTGTCACATCTATATGCGGGCCCATTTCTGCGCGTTCCCTTGGTTAAGTTTCCACTTTGATGCGCACCCTCCTCTCTATGGCTAGATGGGCTCCGCCCCCAACAGTGCTTACATTTTTTCCACCACGTTGGGCCCCCGCTTCGTTTTTTCTGCAACAGCAGTAGATTCAGCAGAAGCAACTACAAGTTAACTTACACAGGGATGCACTTCGCTGTTACGCGCCGGAGTTCGGCGATGTAATGGTTCTTCACCTGCAGTAGACGCAGCAGCAATGAGAGATACCATGCAATAGCTGACCAGATAGCAATGAAAGCAGCAGCAGCAACAAAAGCAGCAATCACACCAGCATGGATACCTGCAGCACCAACAACTGCACCAGGAGCAGCAGCACCAAAAGTGGCAGCCAGAGCAGCTGGAACAACAGCAGGAGCAGACACTGCGGCCCCAACCGTAGAAGAAGGTCCAAGGGCAAGACGCGCAGCAACAAGAGGTATAGCAGCAAGGGAGACAGCAGGGGAAACTAATGGAACAGCAAAACAACGCATGCTGCGCCGGCAGCAAGCGTGGGAGGAGTCCCTCACTCTTCACCGACCCCTTTCCCGGCAGCGACACATACGAGAGATGCAACAGACCTAGAATTGTCTGCCCGAAATTGGTACGTATATCTACGCGCGCAGGCCAGCTACCGAGGGCCAAGCAAGTGGTTAACAGTTCTCTGCACTGTTTGTGCATGCGTCAGACGGCCTTAAGCTACCTACTCCTGCATAAGGGTTGACTCGACATGAACATGGATGTGCGTGGAAGAACACTGCAAATGCGATATGTATGCCACAGTTGCATCAGAAGCAGTATGAGTCGCCGCCCTAGGCGCCTGGTTATAAGATGGCGGATGCAGTAGCAACTGGAGTGTACTAGGTATCCAGGACGTGCCCAGCCAGTTTGTGGGCTA